AGTTCATTGCTTCCGCCGGTACCTACGCCAACTTGGTCAGACAGGCCAAGTCTCGTCAGAAGATCCTTGACAAGATGGAGGCTGAAGGCTTCATTCAGCCCGTTATCCCCGACAGAGTCTTCTCCTTCCGTTTCGCTGATGTCGAGAAGCTCCCCCCTCCGGTTCTGTCCTTCGATGATGTTTCGTTCTCTTACTCTGGCAACTGGAACGACACTCTGTACGAGCACCTTGACTTGGGTGTTGACATGGACTCCCGAACCGCGCTGGTCGGCCCTAACGGTGTCGGCAAGTCTACTCTCCTCCGTCTTATGACCGGAAAGCTCCAGCCCATTGCCGGTCGTGTCAGCCGTCACACTCACTTGAAGCTCGGTATGTACAGTCAGCACTCGGCTGAACAGCTGGACTTGACCAAGTCCGCACTGGACTTCGTTCGCGACAAGTTCCCCGAGAAGAGTCAGGACTACCAGTACTGGCGTCAGCAGCTCGGTCGCTATGGTCTGAGCGGTGAATCCCAGACTGCCCTCATGGGTACTTTGTCCGAAGGTCAGAAGAGCCGTATCGTCTTCGCTCTGCTGGCCATCGAAAGCCCCAACATGATTCTGCTCGACGAGCCTACCAACGGTCTCGATATCCCCACTATCGACAGTTTGGCCGATGCCATCAATGCCTTCAGCGGTGGTGTCGTCGTCGTGTCCCACGACTTCCGTCTCCTCGACAAGATCGCCAAGGACATCATGGTGTGCGAGAACAAGACCATCCGCCGCTGGGACGGCACTATTGGCGAGTACAAGGACCACCTGCGCAGGAAGATGGTCTCCGAGGGTGCTGTCTAAAGCGCATTCCGTCTCTGCATTTTTGTTACGATTGGAACGTTTAGAGATGACCCCCCCAAAAAGTGCGGCAGGGAAGGAAAAAAGTTTTCTTCCAGGAGTGATGACGTATCCTGGAGCCAGTCATATAGTGCTGACTTTACGTTTTTCTTTACATATTTGTCTTGGAGATATTCTTCTGCTTGTTTCTCTCTCATTGTTTGGGTGCGCCTTTTAGATGGTCCGTTTTCATACCTCTCATCCTCCTACTAGAGCTGAGCTGAGCCGAGCCGAGCGTGATGGCTGAATTCCATTTCCTTTACTCTTTCATGATCATTCCCATGATACCTGTTATAGACACTTCATATAGTCTTGTTAAATTGTGTCGGTCATCTTTGTAAGTCTGGCCGATGAATGACTATAATATCCATTGCGCATGAGCTGCCTGAATAGTCTTGATTCCATGCCCTTCTGCTGTAGTCTAGAGTAAGGGTTATTGAACTGATTCATCTTCCCTTGTAGACTAGATCATTGACAATAAAGTACATTGACTAATTGGGCTGCGGTTGTTGTTCCACTACCGAAATCTATTCGAAGAAAGAAGTATATATCAGTTTCCTCACCACATTAGTTCTACGATGGATGCTGTTGCTCGCCAACTTGCCCCTCCTTGACCCGTTGCGTCACCAGCTCTCCGCCAAAGATATCCCTCGCCTCCCGATCCCTCTGCTCCCGCTCCAGTTTTCGCTTCTTCGCCTGCCGCTCGACTTCACTTTCCGAGGTGGCGCCTTCGCCTGCCGACGCGGCGGCGGCAGCAGCAGCAGCAGCAGGGATCCGCTTCTGTCCGGCAAGGGAGATCTTCTCCGGGTTCTGACAGTAGTAGAACTTCTTCCCGATGCGTTTGAGGTTCTTCATTTGCTCTGGGTCGGAGTTGAGGGGCTTGTATGATTGCAGGAGGGCAGCGCACTCGTTGAGTGTGCGGAGGAGTTTCACGCGGAGGTCGTAGAGCAGGTTCCCTGCTTGTGCGTCGGAGCTCTGAGCGGCTGGCCCGCCGAGTTTTGTGTCGAGGTAGTATTCGGCCATGGGGCGATCGGCGAGCATGAAGGCCGCCAGCCAGATCTGCGAGGGTGTGTAGAGGAAGTAGGCGTCGGTCATTTGGGCGGCGGTTTTGAGGAGTTCGCGGGTTGTGGTGTGTGCGCGGCCGATCCGGTCTGTGACTGAGGAGGACGGGGGAGCGTTTGGTGCTGCGGAGACGGCGAGGAGTCCGCGGCGTAGGTCTTCTGATGTCTGGTGAGGGAGGTGAGGTGCGGGCTGGCCCAGGCCTTCGGCCATGGCTTGGAGTTCCATGACGCCGCCTTCGAGGCCGCGGAAGGGGTGTCGGACGTCGAAGGTGAAGCGGAGACTTTGCATGATGAGGAATTCTGGGGCGATGATGTCTTCTGCCGTTGTGTCGCCGGGGAGCTTTTCGGCGAACTGGCGCAGCGACATGTAGAAATTGTCCGTCTTGGTAGCAAGGAAGAGCGCGCAGGGCATGATAGCCTTGGGAGAGTACGTCATTGGCGAGTTGCTGAGGTAGAATCGACGGATGTACTGAATCGCAGTGGCCTGTTACAGAGGACGTTCGACGTTAGTTATTTGGCCATTCGCGGTTATGCGCTTCAACATCAGAAGGGGTACGCACCCGCACTGTCGTCGGCAAGGGTGGCTTATATGTGTCCGCCAGCTCCACGGCCTTCTCGCAGTAGAACCTCACTAACTCCTTCTCTTCTTCTGTCGTCAAACAGTCAATATCCTTCTCTTCCGCTCCCTTGCCATCTGCGGTAGTTCCAGCTGTAGGAGTCCCTGCAGCCGACGAGTTGGCTGACTGTCGCGCCTCCCGCGCTCTTCGCAGTGCCGCTCGGACTCGTTGGCTAGCGACAGCATTTGTGTTCTCCCTTAAGGACCGTAAGGACGCCTCCGTGAAAGACCAAAGCTTAAACTGTGACGAGGTGCGATAGATATCGTCCTCAAACATCCTGCTTTTGATGAAGCTCGATCGTTAAGCCCCGCAGATGTGGGCGATGGCAGAAGCAAGAAGAGAAAGAACAATATAATTGCGATAATAACGTGGTATATATTTTATACCAAGATTAATAGATTTCCATTGGCGCATCAAGAGAGCAAGCTGCGTTGAAAGAGGAAGAATCGGAGACGATCAAGCTAGGCGGAGTTGAAGAAAGAATGGGACCCACCGCTTATCGATATCATGTTTGTTGCCGGCCCGTCCTATCTAATATAAGCCCAGCAGTGACATTCTACAACGATGAACTGTATTTCGGAAAGCTCAATATCAAGTTTATGGTAAGAGAGAGGAGATGGAAAGGAAGCATAAAGTAGAATGGCCACGAGAGCCGGAAACAAGCCAAGAATAGAAGAATAGTTTATGGACGCATGACATAAGGCAGTTGTTGCTCCCAACCATAAACAATCTCCATAAGAATAGCTTGGAATGTCTTGAAAACAGAGCGTTCGCCAGGCACCATGCATTCGATCAGTTTCATCCGCTGTCGTTGCTCACAAATAGACCAAAGAGTCGTCACGTCCTCACTTACGGCTCACCCAGGAGCCGTGCGGTAATATCACCCATATAAGCTTCATCCAATTCATAGTCCTCTCCATTCATTCTATCAATGCCGTAAAATTTGAACGCTGCGACCACTCGATCCACATCGAAGCCCATGCTGCAGAATCGATCGATCAGGTCTTTGTTATATCCGTCGTATCTATTGACATATATGAGATACGATTCTCTAGATGCGATGACAAGTGGCAATGCGTTGTTACGTACTTGGAAAGATCTTCCCTTTCTTGCTCCGCCTTGGTCCTGAGTTCCTCTTGGCGGAGAGTTTCGTCCGTTGCTCCTCCACTACCCTCCCCAGCGTGTTTTCGGGGAGCCCCGGCGTGGATGACGGCCCATTCCCGGGCGACACGCTCGAACTCCTTCGGTCTTCGCAGTAGCATGGTGGCTACCTCTGCATCCTGCGGATCTTTGGGCTCAGGAGTGCTGAGTAAGGACTGCAAGGATAAGAGTGCGGATTTGATGGTCAGAACCGGCGACCATGCCGATGACAGCGTATCGAGACAGATAGCGCCCTATACGAACATTAGAGATCATGTCCTGACCAGGCAGACGGCTGGATGTTGACGATACTCACAGTTTGGCTGCTGACATTAGGATGCCAGACCTTGGTCACGAACTTCATGACAGGCGGCCGAAATGGGTAGTCGTTGGGTATTTTGATATCAACTTCATACGTACCACCTTCATACGGTGTACCCGGGGGCCCCGGAAACGTGCCACGCAGATGTGTTATATCATCATCTCCTTCCACCGGTTCGGCAGTAATTTGCGACTGAGTATCCGCCCGAATATCCGCAATCTCCTTTGCGATACGCCGCGTTCGATTCGAAGCCATAAGTTAAGCGGAATGATCGACCGAGTCACGGACACGTAAGCGATGAATCACGCTTAGGAGTAGATGATGTGGTTAGATGAACCGAATTTGATCCGAAGGATAGTGTACTGAGTCGCTGACTATGGAACAACTTGGTACTTATCAGCAAGAGCGATCAGTTATTTTATGTGTCAATCCGAAGTGTGAAGGCGAGCGGGGAGAAGGTGGGAGGAGACGAGCCAGGGAAAAAAGTCAACATGCTTGTTGGTATTAATAGATGAAGACATATTGAGCCTCGCTTTCTTTCGAGGACTGGAGCTCGAGGAAAGATGGATGAGGGGACGATGAGGCAGGTGAGGAGTAGTTTGGATACTCACAGAATAGCTCAACAGGGCAGCTATATGAACGCTATTTGCCGCACGCTAGCTTCAAGCTGAAGCTCTAAGAAGGATGATTCAAAAATGCAAAAGGGCTTATACTATATTGTGCTGTGTGTAAGGCAGAAAGCTACCTACCTTAAGCTACCTGACTACAGAGTGTTCTAGATACTAAGGTAGGTAGGTCTACCTTAAGAGGCTAGGTATATTTACTTGCCCGCAGCCGCCCTGGTGACGCTTGAATTCCACTATCATTCGCCAGTAAAAAGCGTCAGGCTGCAAGGCTGTCAACCGTGGATCTTCTTACCCAGATTGGTAGTAGTGCTCTACGTAACTTAGATGCCTTAGGCAAAATATAAGGCGGCATGTCACGTGTAAAGATGTTGGCCGCGAAGACCGGACCAGATGGCGACAACAGCTTACCTGAGAGCTCTCCGTCTGTTTCTCCAGCGGAAGCTTCACTCACTCACTACCTTCACGCCTTCATCCACCCTTTATCATCAACCACCTCCCTCAACAACTCCTGCGGTATCAAGGTTATTTTCGTCAGGGGCCTAATTAATTCTGGTACCACTTTTTAACTCTTATCTGCACAGACTCTGGGAACATGGTACGTATATCAGAGCGCTTTCGTCATTAGTGCCTTGGTTGCCTTGCCCGTTCGAGCCAGACTAACATGCCTTGAAACAGGGTAACCAGCAGTCAAACATCGGTGGAGGCCCTGGTGGGGATGGGAGAGATGACAAGGACAAGAAGGTGAGTCGATGTCTTTTACACGCCTTCGGACGCCGCAAGTCCAGTAGCTGACAAAGCCTACGTCTCCAGAAGGAGAAGCCTAAGTACGAACCACCACCACCACCTACAACCAGGATTGGGCGGAAGAAGCGCAAGGCTGCAGGCCCTAGCACTGCCTCAAAACTTCCCGACATTTTCCCTACGTCACGATGTAAATTGCGATATCTTCGAATGCAGCGAGTCCATGACCACCTGTTGCTCGAAGAGGAATATGTGGAGAATATGGAGCGTCTGCGCAAGGCCAAAGCTCAGGCAACGCAGGACTCTGTGAGCCGAGGCGACCTGGATATCATGGACAGAAATGCGGACGAAAGGAGCCGCGTGGATGACATGAGAGGCAGCCCCATGGGGGTTGGCAACCTGGAAGAGCTGATTGACGATGACCATGCGATTGTCTCGAGTGCTACCGGCCCGGAGTACTACGTTTCTATCATGTCCTTCGTTGACAAGGATCTGCTGGAGCCGGGCGCCAGCATCCTTCTGCATCACAAGTCTGTATCTGTCGTTGGTGTGCTGACGGAAGAGTCCGATCCCCTGGTCTCAGTCATGAAACTCGACAAGGCACCAACCGAGTCGTATGCAGATATTGGTGGTCTCGAGTCGCAGATTCAAGAAGTCCGAGAGTCCGTCGAGTTACCCTTGCTCCACCCGGAACTGTACGAAGAGATGGGTATCAAGCCGCCAAAGGGTGTCATTCTCTACGGTGCTCCTGGTACCGGCAAAACCTTGCTTGCCAAGGCTGTCGCAAACCAGACCAGCGCCACTTTCCTTCGAATTGTCGGAAGTGAGCTGATCCAGAAGTATCTGGGAGATGGTCCTCGGTTGGTGCGACAGATTTTTCAGGTTGCTGCCGAGCATGCGCCCTCGATTGTCTTCATCGATGAAATTGATGCCATCGGTACCAAGCGTTACGACTCTACATCTGGCGGTGAACGAGAAATCCAGCGTACTATGTTGGAGCTTCTCAACCAACTGGATGGTTTCGATGACCGTGGTGATGTTAAGGTTATTATGGCCACAAACAAGATTGAGACTCTGGATCCTGCCTTGATTCGTCCTGGCCGTATTGACCGAAAGATTCTCTTCGAAAACCCAGACCGTGAGTGCCGTGCTAAGGGTCTTGCTGTAGTTCACTGACTGACAACCCGCAGAAAATACCAAGAAGAAGATCTTCACCCTGCACACGTCCAAGATGTCCCTCGGAGATGACGTTGACCTCGACGAATTTATCAACCAGAAAGACGATCTTTCTGGTGCAGATATCAGAGCTATTTGCACAGAGGCCGGTCTGATGGCGCTGAGAGAGCGCCGTATGAGGGTACAGATGGATGATTTCCGTGCCGCTAGGGAACGGATCATGAAGACTAAGCAGGATCAGGGTCCTGTGGAGGGCCTGTATTTGTAAGGCGGGAATATGGACGATAGGTGCCTTGTGTCTACGTAGATTGAGCAAGATGGCTTCTCTTTAAGACCCTTTCAATGATGTATTCTACCAGTGAACCGAGCTGCCAATCTCTATGGTGATGTTTTTATACCGCTTCATAGTTTTGGATTAATTGATAAGTCGATATCATAGTATTCGCTGTGGATACAAACGCCGCAAACATTGCAAAAGTGGCAAACGGAACCAGTTGAAACATTATTGGCATCATCAAGTCATTTTCCGATTAGCTTCGAACAAGCACCTTAACGAGATTTCTTGATCATAATGGACGGGTTCGATGAAGAAGCATTCAAGAAATTTTTTCCTAGTAGCTTCGGCAAGCAACAAAAGCAGCTCGATGTGAATGCTCAGATCAACCGCACCAAGCGGTCGGAACTTTCAGCTAAACCAGACGGCGATATAAAAGAAGATATTGACACCAAACCAGCAGTCGAAGACGCTGAAGCCGAAGATGACACAAAAGGACACGATCGAAGAGACGATTCAGACGATGATTCCGATGATGACGACGATGAGGACAGTGAGGAGGAGGATGAATTCCCAGTCTCTCACGAGCTTCTTATCAAGACGCATGAGCGCGCAGTGACGACCATGACGGTGGATCCGTCAGGAGCGCGATTGATTACCGGCTCGACTGACTGCACACTCAAGCTTCATGACTTTGCATCTATGACACCGTCCACTGTGCGCGCATTCAAATCCGTCGATCCGACTGCTAAGAAGCAATCCGCCGCCCAAGAAACACACCCGGTGCACTATGTCGCATTCAATCCTCTTTCCCCAAGCCATGTCATGGTTGTTTCGGCAACGCCGCAACCTCGGATTCTGGACCGCGACGGCGATACCCTAACCGAATTCGTGAAGGGCGACATGTACCTGAGGGACCTTCATAATACCAAAGGCCATGTAGCGGAAGTGACTAGTGGCGCTTGGTCTCCGACTGATCATAACTTGTGTGTCACCGTAGGAACGGACAGCACAGTGCGCATCTGGGACGCAAACGTCGGGCGATCGCAAAAGGAAGTCATTGTACACAAGTCTAGGGTGGCTGGATCCGCTGGTCGGAGCAAGATGACTGCCGTCGCATGGGGATCTCCCAAACAGGGCGGTCCTAATATTCTTGTCGCTGCTGCCCTCGATGGAAGCTTGCTGATGTGGGGCGGGAATGGACCGTTCACTAGGCCTAGTGGGGAGATCAGAGATGCGCATACTCGTGATACATGGACGAGTGGACTGGACATCAGCTCCGACGGAAGACTAGTGATCACCAAGGGAGGGGACGATACCATCAAGCTTTGGGACACACGAAAATTCAAACAACCGATCACCACGGTCTCGCATCCGTCGAGTTCAGTTCGTTATCCGTCTTCCAACATTGTCTTCTCACCTACGTCCGCCAATGTCATTACGGGCTCCGAGACTGGTCATCTACACATCCTGAACCCAGCTACCCTGAAACCCGAGCTTGTCACGCCAGTCACACCTGGGTCGCCTCTCATCACTGTTCTCTGGCATGAAAAGCTCAATCAGATCATTACTGGTTCCGCCAACGCCGAGACACATGTTCTCTACAATCCCACTATGTCAACCAAGGGAGCTGCCTTGGTCATGTCCAAAGCACCTAAACGTCGCCATATCGACGATGACCCGTCACTTACCATGGACCTGTCTGCTGGTATCTCGGGCGACTCCGTTGTGGTCGGATCGAACGGAGTCCCTCACTACAGCTCGGCTACCTGGTCTGCCCGCCATCCAACCGTCGGGCTCACGGCTTCGGGTCGTTCCAGGGACCCGCGACGACCACACATGCCGGCAACTACTCCTTTCGCAAAATCGCAGCCGGATGAACGGCATATCCGCGAAAATATTCCTCTTAGTTCCATGCGAGACGAAGACCCTCGCGAGGCGTTGCTGAAGTACGCTGAGAAAGCCGAGAAGGACCCGATTTTCACCAAGGCATGGAAAGAAACACAGCCAGTACCGATATTCCGAGAGCTCAGCGATGACGAGGAAGAGCAAGAACCCGATAAGAAGAGGGCCAAGCGGTGAAAGGATCGCCTCAAAACCTTTCTACGTTCCTGATTTCCTGGCATTTTGCATTCTCCTGTAGCTTGGGTTGGCGTCTTTTCGAACGCTAATGTATATATATGCAAGATGGATGGCGTTGCGGGGGCCACGGTTTGTCTGTTTAGTGTAATCAGATCCGAAATTATCATCGATGGACTAGCATCAATAATCAGAGATACCCTCATCCGTATGCATCCATCAGAATTGTTATGCATATTACGTATGGTAGACTCAAGTAGAGGGAGTTGTCTGCTGGTGGGAAATTTAATGCTCGATGACGTTGGACGGGAGGGGCGTCCACTGATGGCTTTCCAGGCTGTTGTGGAGGTCCGACCAATAACGATCCTCTAGGCGGAAATGGCACTTCGATAGTCGCTTTCTCTCACTACACTACTGCAAAAGGCTATGAGCTCTCGCCGACCTGTCTGCCTTAGCTTTGTTACTACTCACGATGCTGCGCTTGAGTCTGTTCTCATCCGCTGCTTTGTTGATTAGATCGTCCGAGCGATCGTTCGTACTCTCGCAATTCTAAATCCGCGCCCAGTCGATCCTCCGAACATCCCGGTCGTTCTACGTTGCTCTTGAACGACAGCAAGACCACCCCTTTCTGTCCGTTGCTGGCCGACCGTTCCTCTTTTATTGTTGCCAGAGTCTCGTTTGTCTTGGGAAGTGCAGATATAAAGCTTTGGAGCTTAGTAAAGTCACGGAACAGAATGCGCCATTTTTCACCAGCATGAGCGATTGTTTACGGTTGAACTCGAGCATCATTTCATCTGATCGGTTTCTTTCAGCGCCTTGAGTACACCCATTGAGTTCTCATCCTCAGTCTTCAAGCCTCCGTGTTCTGAATCATATTGAACATTTTGGCCCCGCTGATAACGGATTAACGTGTGTCAGCGGAGCTCTCGAAGCTCCTCAACCCGTCTCTTTCCCCCTGCCTGGTCGTCTTCTTTTTTACATTTGAATGGCTTCCTTTCAAGAGGAGCCCTTAGCAGCAGGCCTGCTTACGGTTCTTGTCGCTTCTTTCGCCCCTACTCCGACTGCCGCCGCATCCGCCTCTTCATCGTTTCGACATCTACCCGCGTCGACGTCGGGCTCTGATTCGAATACTGGCGGTCACAATGGAGGACATATACATGAATGGTCGTCTCTGATTGGTATTGTGACTGCATTGGTGGGGAACGTACTCATATCTCTGGCGCTCAATATTCAACGTTACGCTCACATCCGGATCGAGAGGGAGTGGGAGCAGAGCAAGCTCCAAAGGGAGCTACAATGGAAACGGGCCAACTCGGGCCGGAATGCAGCAGGTGCCTACGGAGCTACCGTAGATGAGGAAGATGGCAGAGAACTTGGACGAGAGAGAGGCCCGTTTCCTCGTTATCGAGACGAGTCGCCGGATTCCGGCCCAGAATTACCCGAGGACTTTCTAAGGAGGAGCGACGAGTACTCGGATGGAGAATCTGGCTCGCGCGGTCGCCTACGCGAGTCCTTTCTATCAGACCAGACCATTCGTCCTGGGGATAAGGATTCGCGCCATGGCCGGCGCAAATCATACCTCCGGTCGCCCTACTGGTGGGCGGGCATTGTGCTCATGTCTCTCGGCGAGATCGGTAACTTCATGGCATACGGGTTTGCTCCTGCATCGATTGTGTCCCCGCTAGGCGTCGTCGCGTTGATATCAAACTGCGTTATTGCTCCAATAATGCTCAAGGAGAAGTTTCGGCAACGCGATGCCTGGGGGGTCCTCATTGCAATCGCTGGCGCTGTGGTGGTCGTGCTCAGTGCCAGTTCATCTGAAGAGAAAATCGGTCCACATGATATATGGGTCATGATCACGCGCTGGGAATTCGAGCTATACTTGGGTCTGACAGCCTGCTTGATAGTCGCTCTCATGTGGGTGAGCCACGTGTATGGCTCGCGAACTATCCTTATAGATGTCGGGCTAGTCGCGCTGTTTGGTAAGTCTTAGTCATTATCGAAGCGTTGTCCGATTGTGTGAACCAAGTACTCATTCAGATATCAAGGTGGATATACCGCTTTGTCGACAAAAGGCGTCTCATCACTGCTGTCATTTACGCTTTGGCATGTTATTACCTTTCCGATCACCTATCTATTGGTATTTGTCCTAGTTTTCAGCGCTCTGATGCAGATTCGGTACATCAACCGGGCTTTGCAACGTTTCGATTCCACCCAAGTCATCCCAACGCAATTCGTGCTCTTCACATTGTCGGTTATCATTGGAAGTGCTGTATTATACCGCGACTTTGAGAACTACACCGCCGAGCGCGCCTCAAAGTTTGTCTGCGGCTGCCTTATGACATTCCTAGGCGTGTACTTTATCACAAGTGGCAGAGTCCGTGCAGATGACGAATCTTCTTTCTCCATTGATGACGAGGAAGAAGCGATTGGGCTTCTGGGAGGAGAGCGGTATCAGGACAGCGTTGACATTGCCCCTCCTGCGCATCAAGCCAGGACACACAATCCCAGGCAAAAGCAACCAGTACCTGGCGAGAACGGTATACTGTCCCCGTCGGGATCTTTACTGAGCCATGGGATTGAGGGCGTTGATGAGGACCAACTCACTCCTAAGGGTGCTCTGTCTGCTGCTCCTTCATCTCCTGTTGGCTCCCTGACCGCGGAATCTCTTACACAGCCATCTCCGGGGCGTCCGTCCTCTTTGCACTCACACTCAAACTTACTGTTGGCGAACCCATGGGCCGACCACTTGGAACAACATGTTCAGGCTTCCAAATCCGAACCTCAGCTTCACCGACCAGCCACTCCTCCGAAACCGGCCGAAAGTGCCAACAGTGATTCAACAGTCCTCTTGCAGTTTCCACCTGCCCCTGGCATTGAAGATCATGGTCACCGACCCTCGTCTCCATCCAAGC